CGCACTCTCATCTGTATATCCCATTTCCTGCTTTCCTCACTAATGTACCAGCCTGTGATCAATGTCGCAAGTCAAAATGTAAGTGTGAGCGCTCTGCGGATGGCGAAGCTTGCAAAAGCTGCATTATGCTTGGAACTCGTGAGTCCCTCGCATATATGCGCATATACCTCATTCAATCTACGTTTTTGTTCCAGCTTGCACCTTCCTTGGACCCTCTCGCAAACGAGGCCCCCCTAAAGGGTACATTGACGCTATAGAAGCTCGCTTGCACCAGACCGAAGCTCTGCTTGGTATTCTCATCGCCAGCAATGACGACCGTGCGAGAGGCGTACTCGACGATATGTCTAAAGTAAGTTGCGTCTCTCCAGTCATTGCGACAGATTATGAATGCTCCCCCTACCAGGACGCTCTAGCCAAGGAGATTATCAACCGGGTTGACAACTCTCCATACGGCTCAAAGGGCCGCAAAGGAGGCCCCATTGGCGGAGCAAAGAACCGTCCGGGCTCCATGTCACCAATGGATGCACCCGGCCACAGCGATCACGTAGATCTCCATTCTACGCAGTATGTCGCTGTACAGTATATACCTGCTCTGGACTTTAACTAACGCATATATCCCTTTCAGCCCGTCAAACGAATGGCAGGATCGCGTAGTATCTTTGCTAAACAACCACAGCAACCACCACATAAATAACGCCACTCTCAACAACCCTCTACTCCTCACCCGGCCCGCCCTTCCTGTCGTCGCTCAGGACGCCACGGAGCGTCAATCACCCACTAGTCGGCCACCTTTTCACAGGCCAGATCCTACAGGGCCAGCGTCTCAAGTCCGCCGACAACGCCCGAAGGTAGAGTTTGAGGGCAGCGAACACGAGCGTGCTTCATCTGCCTCATCAACCGGCTTCCCATTAGGTTCAGTAATGTTAACGCGAACAGACAGTCCCAACTATTCGAGCATCTCACCTGTTCGCCGGGCCAAGGAAAGGTTAGAGCCAGGAAGTACCAGCTCCGTAGATTCTGAATCTGAAGATGACGTTGTCGATGCCGTTGGGCAGCTAAGTTTGAATGAAGATGAGCAGGTGAGATATCACGGCAAGGCAAGTGGATTGTACCTGCTTGGTTACAATGCAAAAGCCGAGGCTAGGAATGAGGCTGGCATATGGTGCGTTACCTCATTTATTTGCTGGACCTGTGCTATGAATTTAACGTATCTGTGTAACATAACAGGCGATTTCCGAAAGCACGTGTGTGGCCTCCTCTGCCGCCTGATGCGCGAAGCAATGCCGGCATGCAGACCACATCTGCGACAGAAGATGACGAGTTTTTATCCAAGCTACCAGAACCAGCTTTGCAAGAACATTTATTGGATCTTTATTTCACTTATGTCCATCCCGTATTTCCCATTCTACACAAGGCTGCATTTTTCGAAACTTTCAGGAACGGGTAGGTTTAGCTTTCTCGCATGGTTCTTAGGGTTTGATTTGACAAGTTTGATACAGAGGTAGAACGGGGGAAACTCCCGAATCGCCGGCTTCCGATGGACAGACGTCGACTTCACCATCTCCTTTTCTTCGACAGCGTCGACGCATCTCCCCTGTACTACTTCTCACCATGTGTGCCATCGCTGCGCGCTACTCATCTAGCTCTGGTTCTCACGTCCCGCCTCCCGAAGATCCCTCCATGTGGACAGCGGGCGACGAATATCTTAATAGCGCCAAGGTGATCCTGGACAGTACCTACGCCAGTTCACGGCCCTCGACGTGTCAAGCATTGTTGTTGATGGGCTATCGTGAGATTGGAATCGGTGCGATGGCGCAGGCTTGGGTGTACACTGGTATGGCAGTGAGGATGGCCCAGGATCTCGGAATGCACAGGAGCGCGGATGGATGGGCGCGTGTGGGGTTAGGTGGGAGGTTGTTCAGTGAGTGGGAGCTACAGGAGCGGAGGAGAATTTGGTATGCATGTGTTATTCTTGACAAATACGTCTCGACCTACATCGGTCAGTCACCGTTTATCGGTGTTCATATAATCTCTTCTAACTCCCTCTTTCATTCCAGGTCGCCCACTAGCTATATTTGAGAAAGATTTTGATACACAGCTCCCAAGTGATTCTGAGGTAAGTTCTACAGAAATGTATCATTGCTGTGCATCTTTTTGTTCCGTTCTTGTCTTGCATGAATTTTAAATGACATAGCGGCTGATCGTCTTTCGTTCCGACTATAGCCCGAAGAACTAGAGTTATGGAGCCCGCATTCATCGCCGCCGATAGACACAAATACGCGCCGCCCGTTATCGCCCAGCAACGCACGGTCAGCGAGCCCTGTTCCTGGTCATGTCCTTTCATGCTTCAATGCTTCTGCAACGCTTTGTACGTTTTGTCAGCTTCTCATCAAATATATGATAGGTACTGATACGCTAATACAGCGGGTTTATTGAGTATGATAGTTCAGGCTATATATGCTATCAGGCCAACGTCAAGCAGACATGCAGAGTCGCTTTACCTTGAGGGTCTACTCGATAAATGGTACCTCGAACTACCAGAACATCTCCGATTTGAGCCTGGGTCGAACAAGTCTCCTTCGCCTGCGCCACATGTCCTCACGCTCCATATGCAGTACTGGTGCACGAACCTGTTGCTCCACCGGCCTTTGTGAGCGTCTGCAGTATCTTCTTGTTGTGATTTAGACTTATTATTTTCTCAGCATACGACAAGTATATTTGCCACATAGACAGTATGTTCTCATCTACATATGCAGTCTAATTGACTCACGATTAACACTTTGCGTAGTAAAGCGGAGACTGTTGATGACGCTGATGTTCGCGCTACGTCTAAACGAAATTATGAACTTTGTGTAGGGGCCGCGAATCATATTGCTTCAATAGGTGAGTATATGATCGAGGTATTTCATTGGGACATGCTCATTGACGTTTGATTTGCTGCAGTTTCGTTCTATCGCGAGAGATATTGTGTGCAACGTGCACCCGTCTTCCTTTGTTTTTATGTTTTCACTGCTGGTATAATGCATGTGACAAGCTGTATGTGTTTTTATTTCTGTTATTTCCACTTGGCTCAGTAGACTTCACTGCTTGTAGTGTCGATTTATCCCAATGATCCTCAAGCTCGGATGGGCCTGAACAAGTGTATGGATGCTCTTCATGAGATGGAGCTAGTGTGGCCAAGCGCTGCTCGGGCACGCGAGCTTCTACGCGGGTCTAAAGTCATCACCGAGGGGGGGGAGTCATTAAGGCTCCAAAGCCAGCCTGACAGACACAAGCGAGCGGCAGAACATGCAGTTGACGGAGAAGATGCTTACGAACGCAGTCAATTGCACAATGGCAGCGCAGACTACCCTAGCTGGAGATCGAATACATTCAGCCATCCCATGCCTAATGATGAGTATCATACTCACGTACCTGTTCCACCACCTACTTCGTCGTCGTCATCCATCCACACGCTTCCTTATTTCTCCTCATACGAGCGGTGGCCGTCTGATAACTCCAACTACCTTTCATTCCCTGGGACTCTCTCAACGTCTGTCCTTCCGCAGATGTATAGTACGGGTTTGATCGATGAGCGGTCACCAAATGCGCTCAATGGTAATAGTCGCATGGCGTCGTATGATCAAGGGCATAATCATAGCCGCTATCCGCAGTTCTGGAGCGACTATACAGCTTTTCCGCAGATGGGAATGGCTTATGGAAATATGCCTTCGCAGTCTGGCCAGGTGGCTGTTGGACCGCCGCCTTCTGAACAACAGCAGCAACAGCAGGGTGAAACGTCTCCTATGTATCTATCGAGTCAATATAATCACGTGTATAGTAAGTGAAGATACATTACAAGCTTTTGTATCGAACTGACGTTGACACGACCGGTTCCTTTCTGAATGTAGATAATCAACCGTCATCTTAACACACTTCTGCCCGTATTCCAGTATCTTGCCCACTTTTTGCGTGTGTTTATGACCACAAACAAACGTCACTCCCTCACCTCCTAATTAAAAATGAATCAAGAATGCTGCTTTTTAGCGTATGTCTGTATTTTGTAGTTTTCGCGAGACGTTCTTGTTCTATTGAACTTTTGTGCATTCTTCTTTTGTACTAATGTTTTGGGACTTGCATAGTAATGTTGTCTTCCCTCCCACTATCCGTTTGCTCTTGGATTTACTCGTAGCCACACTATTATAGTATAGAACGATCGTGACTGAATTCGAATCAAATGCTTGACCCAGAGCTATGTGCACAGGTGTCCAATCTCTTCCCCTGTAAAGGTGCTATATAGATCTTCATGCTGACATGTATGCTGCCTCCGATAATCATTTCTGGACCCGTAGGATCCAGGTTTACACTTCACTAAGTTTGTACCCAGTCATTTGTTTGCTTGTATTTATTGCATATCAACATAGCTCATATGAGCTAACTTTTACAGTCTCAACACTGAAAACAGGCTGGGATAACTTGTTACTCTATTGAGGCAGACAAAATCCCCACCAAATATAACTAGGGGACTTTGCTGTCGTAGGATTTGAAAAATGTCAAAAATAGGTGTTTTAAGTAAATATATAGCAAATGATTTTTGTAATAAGCAGAGCAAATTTTGTTGTACACTTTTTTTTTCAGAATTTTTCAGCTCAAGGTTGTTATTGTCATCAGTGATGGCAACAACACCAAAATTTTTGTAGAAAGCTGTCTATATGAAAAGTGATGTATAAGTTGCAAAAATGTAGACTATGTACTGACTTTTCAACACATTCTGATTTAACTTTTAAGCCCTACAACCAAGTCCCCAAGTCATCTTTGGTGAGGATTTTGTTTGCCTCACAAAATGGCAACAAGTGGTCCCAGCTGTTACTGAGTATGTTAAAAATCGCAAGTTGACGAAGACAAGTGTTGTACAAAGGGAAAGTAAGGTGCAGGGCACCATACTAGGAAAGTGTAGTAGTTGGATGGCCCGTGCATTTTGATGGGCAAATTTTCTCCTTAGTTATACTTTCATTTACCCTTTTTAAACCTTTGTAGCAACAATTGCCCACCTCAGAGCTTCACCCACAAAGTCTGAGTAATTGGTTTATATTAGATCTCTTTGAGGTTATGAGCCCTGTGAGTGAAACAACATACCCAGAAGAAGACACCATTGGGGTGCCAAAGCTTGAGCCAGATGGCTTGAACTGGTTGATGTACAAACTTGCCTCAAATGGGCTCTTGCTGACCAAGACTGCGTTGAGCACCTCCATGGCACAACAAAAAGGTCAATACCAGTATCCCAGACCACTAGCCAGACTGCTGGCCAGGCCGCAGCGACAACATCTCCTCCTGTGGCAGTCAGCAAGGCCAATCAAGAAGCACTTGATGCCTGGTTGAAAAAGGAGTACTGCGCAAGAAACATATTGGGTCACACCATACCTGATTCGATGCTGCAAAGGATTCTAAACAAACCCATCGTTGCCGACATGTGGGCCATGATATGCCAAGAAAACAAGAACAAAACAGAGTTAGTTCAGTCTGAGCTAAGAGAAAGGTTGTCAAACCTATGCTGCGCCAAGAAAGGAGACTTGCGCACACATTTGGAAACAAGATTTGCGCGCTATGGGAACAGCTCAGCACAGCAGGAATCCTCCAGCATCATCATGTCTCTGCCGCACTCATACACCACCTATGTAGCCCATATGCCAAAGCAGACTTTGGACCCAGAGACACTGATCTTGTACCTTCTCCAAGAATATGACTGCCAGATTATATTCAGAAAACGCCTGACAGCAAAATCTGAAGACATTGCAATGTCAGCCACCAGAGGACAGGGATCATCCAAACATGGAAATTGAGGCGGAAGAGGTCATTACAGAAAGGGAAAGTTGCCTGGTGGCAAAGACGACAAAGATGCCAGCAAGCTTGAATGCTGGAACTGCAGTGAAAAGGGACACAGATCACACCAGTGCCCCAACAAGAAGCGTGAGCGCTCCGCAAAGAACAAGTCAAAGGGTGACTCACCAGGAGATAAAAAGGAGGAGGGGAAGGTGGGCGATGCAAAAGGAAAGAAACCTGAAAAAGTGAACCTTGCTGTTCACATTGAATGTGATAGTGCGAGCCTATCAGATTTTGAAGAAAAGGTGCATGGAGCGCCCTCACTCACCAGCTTGCTATGAACATAAGGCCCAAGAGTCCCATCAAAATCTATGACTCTGGTGCTACAAGTTACTTCACCCCTCATTGACACCTCCTACTCAATTACTGCACAATTGCACCTTACCCAATCTTCTCTGCTGTAGGAATAGGGGATATGATGATTAGTGTCCCCAATGGCACCCATAAAGACATGCAAATACGCCTGAAAGATGTGTTATATGCACCAAATATGGCCTACACCCTGATTTCAATTGGCTGTATGGACAAGGCAGGCTACAAAGCTGTCTTTGAGAAAGGCAAATGTGTCATTTGTGACCCAAGAGGAAAAATAAGAGGACACATATCTAAAGTGGGTGGTGTGTACCAGCCACGATGTCATGCACCAAAGTTGATTGGTAGCATGGACAGGTGTCAATAACGAAGCGAATATTCAAAAAGACTCGCCTTTGCGCCACACAGGCACAGTGCCACGTGGAATAGTAATTAATATTGCCCTTTTCGAACTTGTGGCTGACCAGAATTAGAATGGATCCTTGGAAAGTTCAAGCTGTTACAATACACAATCTTTGGACCTTTAGCTTTCATTCCCCTTTTCAACCTTTTTTCTCATTTCTCATGCACTTGTGCCATGTGGCACCTTCCTTGTGTTCAGACTTTCACTTTCTCTTACTGCACTGCTTCTTCTTCTTTTTAGATATAACTTTCTTGCACAGTGAAGCTGGTTACAAGGGCTACACCCTATGACTTCATTAGCCACCACCCTTAACAACTGTATAGTACAACATGTACAAACACCCTATAATAGTATATATACTACAATAGATCAAGGAGACTCCTCAGCAAGTCCTCCTGTTGTTTTCCCACAACTAACTTGGTCCTACCACTAAGGAGTTTATCCACTCCTATTCCCCATACACTTGCTTGTCTGAGTTGTGTGCCACAGTATTAAAACCTTGGTTGTTACATAAGCTATTTTGGAATGGCCAAAACTTACTTGCATCAAAAAAATTAGGGCCTTCCTTAGCTTAGGCAATTTCTACTGGAGACTTGTTTTAAGCTAGACAATAAGTTCGGGTTAGAAACTGACTTTGCTTTAGGAACTGTTCCATCAATCAAATGCCCTGATAATCTTTGGAGGCCTGGTGCCTATCTATCTTATAGTTTGTCACTTTTAGAGTGCAACTATGAGATTGATGACAAAGAGATGCTGGCCATCATTAAAGCTTAAAAGCACTGGTGGCACTACTTTGAAGGTGCTAGGTGTAACAATACCAAAGTTTGCAGACTCTGGTGCATATTTGAAAACTCAAAAGGACGATAATGAAGAAGATTTGGAGTTGATAGACTTAGATGGGTAAGAACCAAGTTTTTTATTGGTATACAATAGGAGGACTTGCTGAGGAGTCTTTAATCTATTGCAGGGTTTATACTGTATAGTATACCAAGTTGGTACCGTGTGGTTTAATATAAATATTCAAATATTTGTGATGTTCCATTGTATTTTATATGATGTTATATCATGTGACTTCACCATGTGTCCAGCTTATGTAATATTTCCATATAGTAAATGCCACATGGCACAGAGTCCAAATGCAAGAAAAGTGAAAATAGGTCCGAAAATGCTATTGTAACACTAGGCACCAGTTTGAAATCTGGATCAACCACAAAAATCTGGAGTATTTTATAACAGCTTAGGACCTGAATCAAAAACAAGCCTGGTAACAAGGGGTCTCTAGTGACAAAGTGGTTTCTGATAAGCCCGTGGTTCACGGGTTTGAGACATATTCTGATGATGAGGATTTACTAATGAATACCAAGTTGCACTGTTGAAGTGTACAATTGTATTGAAGATGTAACTACAATACAGGTGTATATATATACTGTCTACTTTAGGGCAGGTGTTTGTGTTGAACAAACAATAATGGGTGAGACCGTAATAGGTAACAAGTGTGGGAAGTATGAAGGAGTAGTGGTAGGTAGTTACTCTGAAAAGAAATAGAGTCCATAGGGAACATAGTTTGTAACACCTGCTGTGCTGTGTTTTTGTCTAGATTAAATTATAAATTAAATTTTAAGTTAGGCACTTCTATGGGAAAAGCAGATGTTTTATCTAGGAGAGAAGATCACACCACAGGCATTGTTGATAATAACAAAATTGTCACCCTATTAGAATAATCTAGGGTAGCCAATATTAGAATAGGGCAGGATTGTGATTTTCTAGAAATCTTCAGGAAAGATATCTGATCAGAAAAGAAGGTGCACCTTGATGGCAATAAACATTATTTATGGGAAGACGGGCTCTTCCATTACAAAGACAAGATCTATGTGCCTGAGTCCGCAAAGGTCAAGACAATAGATAAATATTATGACACACCAGTGGCTGGACACCCTGGTTGGCAACAAACAATGGAGCTGGTTTTCAGAAACTACATATGGCCTGGCATGGTCAAATACCTACAACAATACATACAGTGTTGTCTCTGTTGTGTCATAGCAAAAATGTCACGATTTGAGCCATTGAGAGTCATTATCTAATCTATAAAGTTCCAAAATCTTATCTCATCATGTGACCTTACAGTCACCTGACCAAACACAGACTATGACGTAGCACATCAGTCAGCGCCTCAAGGCTACTGCATGGTGCTCAGTCAGCACCTCATGGCTGGCCCACAGATACATATATAAACCAGCTACTCATGTACATACACTCTTCAGTTGTTGATTACTTCTTAACATTGTTATTTGGACGCTACTTGCTTGATTTTGAGACTTGCACCTCCGTTAGTTTGGCATAAGGTGTAGGGATCTAACAAAAAATTCCCATCAACTGCTGGCTGGTAAACTTATACTCTGATTCCAGCAGAACCCTAGTAGGACATATTGGTTGATTTCATGATGCATCTACCCAAGTCAAATAGGTATGATTTAGTAATGGTGGCTATGAATTGCTTGTTCAAACAAGTTGTGTTCATACCCACAAACAAAACTATTACAGCCACTGGTATGGAAAACTTATTTGAAGATTTTGTGTGGTCTATCTATGGGTTACCAGAAATAGTGATTTCTAATAAGGGACCTCAATTTGCTGGATGCTGGGCATCAAACCTAAATAATTGATGGTGATCCATCCACAAACAGATGGACAAATGGAGAGACTCAACCAAAAGTTAAAACAGTATCTCCAGATATTTATCAATGACAGGCAGACAAATTGGGCCAGGTGGCTACAGATAGCCTGATTTCCATACAGTATCAAACAATTGTTGGCTATCAGAAAGGCACCATCTGGGGGAATCAGGTTGTACCTGCCAAAAATGGGTGTAGAATTTGGCAAAAGCAAAAACGAGGCTACAGGGACTATGGCCAAAGACTTGAAGTCTGTCTTAGAAGAAATGTGCAAGGTGCTATTTAAAACTGTAGAGCAGATGAAACACAAGGCAGAGTGTGAGTGTAGGCACTCAAAGGCCCCTGATTACAAAGTTAGGGACTTGGTCTGGTTAGATACCAACTACTAAAAACCAAATAATTAGCAGTCTGGAAAACTGGCCGATAAGTGGATTGATTCTAACCAGATTAAGAAAATCAAACCAAATGTAGAAGAGCTAGAACTGTCAAAATGAACAAGAGTGGTACCCATGGTTAATATTAACTGGGTGAAACCTTATAAAGGCCACTGCCTGAACAGCATATAGACCAGCACAGACTAGTGTAAGAAGGTATTTGTGTCTAAGAAAAAACTGGGTATAGTTCTTTTGTTCAAACACCTATACATTGTTTAACCTGTAGGGATTAACCAAGGAATTCAGAAGAAAGTGCTGAAGACAACTGAGTATAGTCCTGCAAGTTATGATTTTGCTGGAAAGGCAATAAAACAACTGTGTGAGCAATAATACAAGTGGAGGATGAATGTAGAGCTGAAAATACAACAATGGGATGACTCCTGAAAATCCATGTTTTGTGTTTATACAAATGGAATATCACAACAAGCTCTACACTTGTTGGTTATACAGCTGCAAAATGTCTATAACACTTTTAAGGTGACCAATGTGTTACAATACACAATATTTGGATTTCCAAACTTTTAGTCTCTACTTCAACCTTCTTTCTCTTTGGACACTTGTGCCATATAGCATTTTTCTTTTGTTTCACACTCCACTTAGACTTTTACTTTCTCATACAGCGCAGCTTCCTTTTATTTTCAGCTACAACTTTCTCGTGTGGTGGAGCTGGTCACAAGGGCTGCACCTGATGTCTTATGATATCATCAGCCACCCCTTTTATCAACTGTATAGTCTATATGTACAAATAGTCTGTAGTTGAAATATAAACCCTAATAAATCAAGAAGACTCCCCAGTAAGTCCTCCTGTTGTTTACCTACAATAAATTTGGTCCTACTCTAAAGGGAGATTACTCTTTTATTTACCTTCTTTACTTTTTTTATTATGTGCCAGAGTATACACACTTTGGTTATTACAATAGGACTTGCTTTATCTACTCTCTTGCACTTTGTGTGTAAACCCGGTGTTGATGATGAAAACTGTTGTTAGAAAACCACACACAAAAACAAACTAACACACAATCCTCCCAGATTCCAACAGAACTTGTTTATGGGCTTTGCCTCCCAGAACAGTGGAGTGATCTGGTTATTCATGAGGTGGTATATAGTGATCCTTCAAAGTAAAACCCAGTGATGTATGGGTGTGGGTTTTGAGGGGGAGGGATAGTTGGAAGACAGAAGACAGGGGCCCTGTGGCAACCACAGACAAACACTACTTTACTAATTGAAGCACAATGTAGGCCTGAGAATGACAAGGTGATGAGGTGACGAGGTTCCCAGTGATAGTGTAACGACCAAGAGTTTGTTACTCTGGCGCACAACTCAGACAAGCTATAGAGATAATGATGAGGGAGTGGTTACCCTTTAGGCTTCAACAAGTTAGTTGTGAGGATACCACAGGAGGACTCGCTAAGGAGTCTCCTGGATCTATTGAGGTATATATACTACTACAGGTTGTTTGTACATGTTGTACTATACAGTTGATAAAGCAGTGGCTGATGATGTCAGAGGGCGCAGACCGTGTGACTAGCTCCACTGTGTGAGAGACTTGTAGCTAAAATAAGAATAAAGGCAATGTAGTGCGAGAAGGTGGAGTTTGAACAAAAATGGAAAGTGCCGCATGGCACAATGTGTGAAAACTATAGTATAAAGTTAAAGAGGAGAATGAAAATTAAAGGTCCGAAAATTGTGTATCGTAACAGATAGCAGGCTCCTGATGCGCCGGCCTATAGTGCCCAGAAGGACTCTAATCAAAAGGGATAACAATGACTTTGGAAGTGATAAGTGACAATGACAGCAGACAATAGCAGTAGCAGTGGGAAGTGTTGTGACCACACTGGATCACAAGTAGCAGAGAGTAGTGAACTTGAGATTAGAGAAGAAGTCTGGATTATGATTTCTTGTTTTTACAAGGTAAAATACAGGGGTTTATATAGTAAAAAAAGGTAGGCTATGCACAGTATAGCCGCGCAAAAAGAATGAGAATCCCATCAAAACCTTTGCTAGTTGGATTCTATCAATTGTACCTTATACTACCAAAGTCAAACAACTATTTTCTGATTTTAATGGCATTCAAGGTGCCAAACAATGCAACCTCATGATCAATAACTTTAAGACATTTGGTAAGCTTTAAAATAGCTACACCTACCATCCACAACAACACAACAAACAACTTGGGAAAGCCATTCAATAAAATAATGGTCACAAACACACCTGAGCGCAGCCTGAAATCAATATCAATCTTGCAACTGATCTCACCACTAATTTCACCTGGTGTCTACTTCTCACAGCCACCCCCCAAGAGCATAATTCCAGACAAACTTGAAGAAACATTTGGTGCACTGGAGTCTGGTCCTACCAACCCAGAGGTGGATGGAGGCAAGGTGTTGCTGTTATGAACTATTTTACCTATAGACTTTATTTCTTTGCTCAAGTAGCTACCTACCACTACCTACTAATATACACTGTGGGCATTGGCTTATTTAAGCCCAGCTTATATCCTGAAAACATTCAATTTTAGCTTTTTCTAGCCAATCAGAACCCAGAACTCCCATATTTTCAGGATATAAGCTAGGCTTAAATAAGCCAATGCCCGCAGTGATACTCCTACATATTATTGCCTGTTACGGTATTACCTGTCTCTGTTTGCTCAACACAAATGCCTGCCCTAAAATAGGAACTATATACCATCTCCAATATGATTGTATGCTTCAACAGTGTCAAACTTGGTATTCATCAGAACAAAGTCTCATTATCAGAATATGTCCCAAACACAGTGTTACTAGGCTTGCACATTACAAGTGCAACAGTTGCAAGGACATGTATATGACTTGAATAAACAGATTGATAAGGGTATGACTCCTTTAGGCTTCTAGGATGATATAGCAGTTGGGCACAGGGTCAGGAGCTGGAACCTGGATTATTGAGGCTCCCCTTACTTTGAGGGGTGTTTCTGATATGTAGAATAGCTCATATATTATCCTATATACAAAATTTAGTGAAAAATGTGATTTCCCTTTTGTTATTGTTTTCCAACCTGCCATTTGTCATTTTGCCTAGACAATTGGCAGACTTGCCCTAAAATTGTTCTGCCCAGACCATATTATGCCTGGACAGATATTAATAACAGTACATCAGTTGAGAATGGCCTTCTATGGGCTCAAAAAACAAGCACCACTAACCTAATTTTATAGCAAATTATTTCATATAGATATTCTTGCTCCTCCTAAAAATGGAGAAAAATACATTTGTTTTTGAGCCTGTGAAAGGCCAATCTCAACTAATGTACTATTATCAACTGTCTAGGCATATTAACTGCATACACCACGGGCATGAAAGGGTTCCAGCCAAGCCGGAAGAGGTATGATTCTCACACAAACAGCATAATTTCAGCCACCTTGACGGCCTGACTGGAATACTTCAAATATTATAAATATATACTTTGTGATAGATTAACTAAAATTTTACCAATGTTTTGAGAAATAGCTGGGATGGTTCATGCCCAGTTTGAGGCTGACATGTTGCTGGCTCTTGAAAAACTAGGTCTGTATTGGCTGAGCTGCTGACTTTTCAAAGAACTTAGCAATATGTTAGGCATGCACCCTCCTAGCTATTTCTCAAAACATTCGTAAAATTTTAATTAATCTATCACAAAGTATATATTTATAATATTTGAAGTATTCCAGTCAGGCCGTTGAGGTGGCTGAGGTTATGCTGTTTGTGTACAAATCATACCTCTCCCCAGTGGTGGAAGGGCCTTGGGTATTGCCATTGGCACTATAGTGCCTTCGGCACATGGGCACCCCCAGACAACGATGACAAGGCCCAAGGTGCCTATGGCACCGAAAGGTCCCGAGCAACTCTGGTCTCACCCTGCAGGACATTTGAGCAGCAGTGTCGACAGTTGCAGCTCAAAATAATGAGCATTCAGAGGCAAGGGTTTTGAAAGAGCAAAGTGGGCATATTTAGACAGACAGTGTGTATCTATATCACATGAAATATATAAGTTATATCCCAAAAATAATGGTGCCGAAGTCAGCACAGACTCCTCAAAAGTGTCCATGTCCAAAGATTCATCTAACTCACCAGGAGCATCCAGACTAACCAAATCATATAGCTTGAGTTCCTCATTTAAACCTGGTAGCAAAAACCTCTCCTCTACCTGTATCCAAGCTGTATCCTCGAAGTTGAATAGCTGAGAGATTGATACTGTTATGATAACACTATTTTCGGACCTTTCCTTTAATTTTCATTCTCCGCTTTAACCTTTTACTATAGTTCACACTCCATGCCATACGGCACTTTCCTTTTTCGTTCTAAATCCACCTTCTCGCGCAGCGCTGCCTTCTTCTTATTTTTAGATACAACTCTCTCACACAGTGGAGCTGGTCATGCGAGCTAGGCCCCATGACATCATAAGCCACTAACTTTACCAACTGTACAGTACATAAGTACAAACACTCTGTATTAGTATATATATCCCAATAGATCCAGGAGACTCTGACAAATTATGACATTTGTTTATAGTATGAGAAAACATGCATTGGCCAGGGCTTGAACCTAGGACTCCAGCTTTCATGGTCTGGTGCTTTACCAACTAAGCTACCAAGGTGTACTTGGAAAGCATACTGATTGGTTGCATGCCCAGAAGGTCCAGAATCACTGTACACGGGTGCGGATCCCATTGTGTTGTGATAGACTCCTCAGTGAGTCCTCCTGTTACATACCAACAAACTCTCTGCAGCTTAAAGGGTAACCACTCCCTCATCACTATCTTTATAGTGTGTTCTTGTGTGTGCCAGAGTAACTAACTCTTGGTTGTTACAGATACATGTATTTGTCCGAATGTCACAACCTCTGGGTCTTCATCTGCATCCAGACAGCCATGCAAGCCTATGATTATGTCGTCCATTGAGTTCCTGCATGTAGAAGATGGACTATGTAGAGCTTCTGCCTCCGAGTTTGAATTGTCAGGCGGGTGACCTGGATTACTAGCAGGTTCAGCTTCGCCCAAAGTGAAGTCATTGGTTGACATTGAGAGTATTTGGCGTTTGCGCAGCTTTTTTTTGAGTATCCCCAAGTGGACATGTTCATCACGTAGGTGAAGTTGGAGCTCAGCAAGATCAGTCATTAATTTGATACTCATTCGAGAGCAAAGCCGGGTGAGGATAAGCCCAAAGGCACTGAAAAGTCTCTCGCAAGAGGCTGAGTTGGCTGAGACAGTGAGTAGATGTCTTGCAAGACGTTCAAGAGGTGTTGGGAGTGGGTTCACTAGGTTGGTCATTGCAATGTAGATGCTCATTGGGTCAACAGACTTGTTCTGTCAAAGGGTAATTGAGTACAAAATTGTATTACAACAAGTAAATTTACTTACTTCGCTAGCTGCTAATGCAGTTTCACGCCGAATGTGATCTGGGAGCTTTCCATACCGGTCTTGGTTACTGAGATAACTCACAACCTCACAGTAGAGCTGAATTGGGGCCTCTTCTTTGTAAAAGCGCATTCACAGCCAACTACAGAGCTCCCAGACTTCTGCTGCTGTCATGAACTCAACACTGGAGCTGGATGGAGATGCCTTGTAGAGAGGATTAAGTATTACTACAGCAATGAATATGTCTTGGTCTGATTTCTCCCAGCATTTCTTGATGCTTTTCAGTGTTGCTCGCATGAGTGGGACATCAGTTGGGTTGTTGGGAGTGTTCAAAATAGATGAAAATTTGGAAAATAATAATCCAAAGGTAATCAGGACTTGGTCAAGTTGACAATATGTTGCCTGAGTGATATTTGCTGCAAGTGCAAGTGGTTCAAGGTGTTTTTTAATCCTATGGAAGCCTAAGTGCGAGAAAAATCTCAGACCAGAAGAAAGTCATACCACGCTATGGTGTGCCAAAACAACACATTATTAATAGTCTCTACCATTCTGTCGGCCTTCTCTAAAGCCTGTCGGTCTCCAATTCTGACCAGCCGTTCAGCAGGTATTTTTTGGGTGTCCGCAGCCATAATTTGTTGCAAAGTAAGTTGTAGTTCAAGTAGACGCTGAAATGCAAGATAGTGTGCTGTCCATCGTGTAATCACAGGGCAGATAACAGATTTTGCAGAGCCAGTGAGTCTTTTTGAGGTAGAGTGAATGAGAGCAGTAAGGAGTGTTTTGCTCCGTATCCATGTAATGAGGTCAATAGCCTTTGTTGAAAAATTGGATACAAACTGTGCCTCCTTGCAAGCAAAATAGTCCCCTACAATGAGGTTAATTTGGTGTGCGTAGTAATCTAGGACTATGATTTCAGGCCTATCTTGACAAAGGATTTTTCTTGCCTTAAGCGAGTCTCCCCAGAAGCATTAGAAGTAAATGTAATGAGGATTATATGTTAGTTAATTTCGAGTATTTTCTGTATTTTCTTGATGAGTGTATATAGGTTGTTGGCAGTTTTTCGTTCAGAGGACACATCATAAACCTTCACAGTATGAACCTACAACTTGAAATAGGTCATATAGTTATAAAAAATCATAAAAGTGGCTTACCTCATGAGATGCTGATGTGACCATAAATGCAACAATTATATGGTGTGAGTTGACACCGGTCCATCCATCGCACTGTCCTATCACAAGCTGTCCACTAAGGCTTCTTTTTGCCATTTCACAATAGTGTTCAGCCTCTGCGGGAATAAGTCGATTAGACAGGACTTTGCGGCTGATAGGCTGGGCATTCAGAAGAAACCTTTGGCAGAACTGAATCCATTCAGGGTTTTTAACCCATTGGAATGGTAGACCAGCTGAAGCTGTGAGGTGGGCAAGGCATCGTCCAAACTCTTGCTGCATCTCGATACTCCATTGCAATGTTTGTGATGGTTGATGCGGGAAGCTTTTGCCGCTGCATTTTGATGGAATTGTGGCATGAGTCTGATTAAGATCTGGCAGATATGGGGAAGCTAATATACTCGGAGATGTACTTGGGGTCTGAAAAGGTGATTCAGAGCTGAAGTGTGATCTCAAAAGTAGGAGGTTTGGAAGAGGTAACAATGATGAGGGACCAGCTTGCTCATAATTGCTGCGGGTTCATTTCAAAGATGATAATGCTGCTACAGAATAACCATGGTTCTTGCATTCATGTCTGGCACACTGTTGATGATGAGAACTGCTGTTAGAAAACCACACTCAAAAACAAACTAACACACAATCCTCCCAGATTCCACAGAACTTGTTTATGGGTTTTGCCTCCTAGAACAGTGGGTGCTCTGGTTGTTCGTGGGGTGGTATGTATGATAATCCTTCAAAGTAAAACCCAGAGATGTATGGGTGTGGGTTTTGAGGAGGAGGGGTAGTTGGAATATAAAAGATAGGAGCTTTGTGGCGAATGTAGATGAGCACTACCTTGCTAATTGTAGCACAAGGTAGGTTTGAGAATGACGAGGTGACGAGGTTCCCAGTGATAGCAGGCTCCTGATGCACAAACTGTAGTGCTCAGAAGGACTCTAATCGAAAGGGATAAAAATGACTTTAAAAAGTGGAGAGTGACGATGACAGCAGATAACAGTGGTAGCAGTGGGAAGTGTTGTGACCACACTGGATCACAAGTAGAAGAGTGGTGAACTTGAGATTAGAGAAGAAGTCTGGATTCAAGTTCTTGTTGTTTTTTTTACAAGGTAAAATACAGGGGTTTATATGGTAAAAGAAAGGGAGGCTATGCATAGCATAGCTGTGCAAAAAGAATGAGAAAAAACATGAAGGAAGGAATGTATGCTGACAAATCCTGCATAGGTAGTACAGGATAAGATCGTCAAAATAAGGAAAAGAAAGAGATAGAACAATGAATGCTGTGTAAGTAATGTTACAGGTTTGTACAGCCATAAAGTAAAGTCCAATAGCAGAAAGAGAGCAAGAAAATCATGATGTCATGGGAAGATGCAGTAAAAAAAGGGCAAAGCAAAAAAATATCAGTATCAACACAGTTCCTTTATTGTCAGTCAGGCATTCTAAAAAAAATATGTGTCCATAAAAATGATTCAAAAATCAAAAATAATCGCACTGTAAATGAATGTTCTGCTGAAAAAAAAGAAACTGGAGCCACCAGTCCACCACCTAGTCCAAATCCGATGGTTTCATGGCCTTACCAATAGACTGGTTGTGTTGGACCACCTGGTCAAACGAGGGAGGGTGAGGAGTAGTTCCAGTTTGGAACAAGTGAGTCCCAGGCAGGGTGTGGTAGGTGTAGCTGTAGCGAAGACGATGGATAAAGGATAAATGTACCCAAGTGAATGGGACAGCAATGGACATGGGCGACACAAGGGGATGAACCTTCTCCAGCTCAAAAACTACCCACCCACGCTCCAACCAAGCGAGGCGAGTGACTGATGTTTTGACAGTATATGATGGCAGATTGACATCATGAAAATGGACCTGTTGCCCTATTTGGACCGGCCGCCGGGGCTTTGCTGATATCAGCAGTGGCACGTGGTAGTCAACAGATCAGCGATGGAAGCGGATAGGAAGTGGTGACATCAGAAATGGTGGGGGTGCCAATAAGATGAGGAGGAGGAGGCTGGAGGTGACAAAGAGGTGGATTAGAATGGGGATCCAGAAACGACTGTTGGGTGAGAATAAAAAGGAGAGGAAGGGGGCTAGGCAAAGGAAGGGGAGTAAGGGAAACGATGAAGGCAAGGGCGCAATGCAATGTGTAGCCAGTGGCAATGTGAAAATTTGCCAAAATGTCGAAACACGGAAAGTAACAAATGGAAAGCAAAGGTGAGTGCGACTGGATTGCCTAATAGAGGTGTTGCTGATCAGCCACAAGATTGAAAAAGGCAATATTAATTACTATTCCACATGGCACTGTGCCTGTGTGGCGCAAAGGTGAGTCTTTTTGAATATTCACTTTGTCATTGACACCTGTCCATGCTACCAATCAACTTTGGTGCATGACAAAGCTGGCGGACAAATTGTGGCTGGTTTGGACAATGAAGAACTAGATGTTGCAGAACTGTGTCTATGTGAGATGGAAGCCAGGGTTTGTTCTTGGAGTTGTCAGCCCACACTAGTGTAGTCATGTTAGTCTCATGCTATAGCGCAAATAGTCCTACTTACTGTCACTTTTAATCATTTCCTGAGTACGTGCTGTCACTCTCTTGTTTTGTGTGACATCTTCTATGTCTTGTATCTTATGCTTGTCCACTATTACGGGCCAGCACATGTTACATGCAACTTTAACACACTTGCCATCCTTGCTTGCAAATGATATCGGATCCTTATCTTTGTACTTGGGATGATCTGTAAAGTTATCAATTCTCCACCAATCTTGTTCTCAACCCATTTTTTTGGACTGATGATGGACTGCGAGGCTAGGTAAACCAAGTGGTGAAAATCCAAAAGGAAGTAAGTTCGTGCCAGCTCTTCTGTCAGACTCGAGATTATATACAAAGAATGCATGAGGAGAGGGGGCAGCAAACACAATACAAGTTTTTTGCGGTATGAAAGCCATGCAGTTAAGTCACAGCAATGGTGAACGTGTTGATGACAATCTCATTGATCTTCGATCAGGCTGCATGAGCACCTTACACATATGTGATTACTCAGACATAGTGCCATCTCAAGTACCATACACGTAATCCAGTGCCCCAGAGTGCCACGGAGGCACCTTGGGCACTCTGATAGGCACTGTTCTTGAAGGCACAGCTCATCCAACACTGCCTCTCCCGGCTTGGCTGGAACCCTTTCATAAGCTTTCATGCCCGTGGTGCATAGGTCTGCGCACACAAATTTAAGCTCCGCTCACTAGGATCTTGAACCAAGATATGACGCGGGCCCAACCACTCGCAAATTTCGATACCCGCTAATATACTTAGCCAAGAGACTAGCGAGTGGGTACGAGCCTAGCCAGGCTTCGGCATATGTGTATTACGTAACATAAGCACCTTCAGCTCCGATTTACCGTATCAAGGTACTACAACCTTCTATTTGGACCTATATCTTATCGACAGGCACTGTACAAATCTAACAGAATAACCGGCAATGCATATTCAGGATGATCCAAAAGAGCAAGACAGTGTGGATTTGTTGACAGCAATGATGGGTGACCTTGACCCAGAAGTAGCTCGACGAGTTCTCCGAAAATGTGACGGAGACGTACAAAAGGCTGCAACTGCCATACTCGAGGGTGATAGAGGCGATGACATATGGATAGCAGATAACCGCACGAACAAACCAGCGGAAAGGCAGAGGCCCCATTCTCCCCAGGAAGGGCCCCCTCGCAGACAAAACACACCAGTCATCGACCTTACTGGTGATGACGACAATGATCTTTCTCGTGCCCTACAAGCATCCCTGGAAACTCAGCAACAAGAACCCAAATTCGGTCCAAGCGAGCGCCCTCCAGACCCGAACTGGGCTGTCGTCCCCTCCAATGTGATCATGTCTTCAAATTCCACCATCTCCCTCAACTAACTTTGTACTAGGTGGAGTCTGGTTCTGATGCCCAATACTATCAGACTCTCGATCGTGCAATAAAAGCGAGTCTGGACTCTACTTACGATCATTCTGCAAGTGAAGCATACGAACCACTTCCTCCAGAACGCCAAGTTCGCGAAAACGGCTGGTTTGTTTGAGCATATTTTTGTTTCTTTTGGAATTTCACTCAGACCCTAAGTCCAGCCCTGTCGCACTACGTCCTACACAGAATACTATGACGTACGCCGCTTTAATTCTCCAAGGATTATATTTTGTGCCTCAAATCAGAGAGCGCGTCGCTGGTTGGCGGCCATCTGCACCTCCAGGTGTGCACGAAATCGACACGCCTATGACTGGACATGGTACGCGTTCCATTACCCTCTACAACAGTGACATGTTCATTCCCTCGCAGAGCATATTCTCTGGCTATTACTGGAGATATTTGTCCACATGGACTTGGCTCAACTATCTGACCTTAATATTGATTCCTCCCTTGGAGCATTTGAGGCAGAACCTTGGTTAAGTCTGGCGGAACGCCCTGGCGACTTATCAAATAGTGCGTGTGAAAATTGACTTACAGATGCGGAGCACTTAGCTTCGATCCAGAATTCTTGGCTCAGGTAGCGACTGTCTTAGAGAACCTGTTTTCAGAACAATTCATTGGTGAAGGTCATACGACACCGAAGTATAATACTCAACTTCCTTCAAGCGGTCTATATTCATAATTGTTTTCTATAGACCAAGGTTCTTTTACTTCCAATATGGCCACCTTGATGCCGACCCAAAGACTTTGCAAGAGACTTGTATAGTCAAAGTTGAAGTCGGCGGGATAGGAAGCGGAGACAACAATGACCTCATATCTCGTCTTTCTGCACAATTATCAAAGCACCACGACCAATCTTCAAAACAGGAAGTTATATTCGAGCCATCCGAAGTGGTCACATTCCAGCTCTCTAGGAGTCACTCGAACGCTTTCCTGGGAGGTTCAAATGAGAAATCGGATTCAGAGCGTAAACCGTTTAGATACCCGAAACATATCTTCATGGACCAATTCTTGGAAGTAAATGCGGAACTTGTGAATACTAAAAGGGCTCAACAGCGAGAAATGAACGAGGAAATCCAGAAGCTTATGCTTCACAAGAAATCACTGACTCACTTCAATGTAGGCAAGCATTTCTCCGTTCTCTTGGAACATGGATTTCAACTCAGTGCATCCTACCAGGACAAGGACACGGTGAAAGATCTAACCTCTGCCATATATTATTATGAGCATGTAGCGGAAGCTAAGGACGACCCAGAACGCGCAGTCACCATTCAAACTACAGCAACTAAGCTTAGAAGTATTTTAGCCAAAGTTGAGAAAGAGATTGAAGGTACGCCGCGATCGAGTTCAAAAACAATAATATTTACAATTTTTTACAGCCACGGATGCGAAGATAACAAAGATTCGAAGCGACTCCGCAAACTTATTCGAGTGCCCTGAACTGCAGAAAGCCAGAGTACGTCATCTTCCAGTGTACAATCATGTGTGCCTTGAATATATTTGGCTCACTGGATTTCGTAGTATGATCTCCGAGTTGCCTATATCCACGATGGCCTTTTCGGTAGAAAACATCTATATTCTTATGTGTACGATAATGGCTCTTGGTGGAAGTCAGCCGACTCATCAGTATCCCGGGTAAAGTTTCTGCCTGACATAACTTCTGCCACGCTAATATTGGCATGATTCACAGGTGCCAGAAGAAACTGTTCTGAACGACGAGGCCGGATTACACCTAAGCGCGGGCCCTTTCTTACTGATCTACAGTCGCGCGCTTCCAGAACGCACTGAAGAGAATAGCCGACTCTCATGGCCAGAAGTTATCAAAGTAATTACCCACTCTCGTTCTTTGTGTTCACTTGGTATAACAATCCTAATTTCCTCGCAGAACTCAGTCAAACATAATAACCAGCTGTTTTTGTCTAATCTCCCGCCGGAGCTCATCCAGAACGTACACGATCCACAATCGCCTCCATCCTTTCCAATAACTCCCTCTCGCTCGCTTGCCCAGACTCCATCCGAGCTCACGATTGACTCGACTGATGTCGAACCTCCACTGTCGAGAGACGAGCTGATGGATGTAAGCACTGAATGAGTATAAAACCGATTCAAGTAAACTCGATCGTTGACATGCATTAATGAGTATCAAGCTGGGTGGCAGTTGCACCAACGTCCCTGAGTTAGATTGTTCATGCGTCGAATTGGAGTATTTTTGAAGGTGGTTCTATCTAGGAAACTTTATTTACGTCTAGCCAATGTTACTTACTATCTCTGTAAAGGGCTTGGTCAGTCAAGTGAGGCGATTGATTTATCATGATGAAGAGAAGCAATCATTGAAAAATATGATTCCCATGCACGCGTATCAACACATTCCGGATTTCTGTTCCTCTTGTGTACCATTCGTTATCTCTTCTCGGTTTGTGTCTTGCTTTGTGTCACGTGTTTGGGAATATAAGAAATTCCATCCAACCGTTCTTTGCTCTCCATATCTAGACGAATCAACGTCACATCAGTAAGTTCATGACTGTAAATATACCTCGAACAACGTACACATCGACTATATATAATAGTAATCAAGATAATCAAAAAAGAGATGAACAAGGATGCAATACTTCAAACTAAAACTATCTATCTCAATCTGACATCTTGTCCATTATACACCAATAAACGGTCAATAAAAAAAAAGTATGAGAAGTAAACAAAAAAAGTGCTCGAGGCGCCGCGCTGGCAGTGTTTGAATAGGCGAAGCGATATAACGCCAAGCGCTCGAAGTAGCCGACTCAATTGCCCCTCAGGTGCATTGCATCCAAAGACGGATTGTAATGAGCATAGGCATCAAACTGAGGGTCACCATGTGATCCATCCGACCCAGCACTGCTACTAGCATAACCCGCAGAATCTCCACAAGATACCCCGCTCATGGGACTGGTTGGCTGTGGAGAGACGCTTGCAGATGATTGTGCAGAGCGATACGAACCCATGAAGGTCGGACGGGTATTGGGACCGGACAGGGCAGCCACCGGTAACGGGGATGACTGTGAAAAGGTTTTCACCATATTAGGCCTGGTATGGGTTGGAGAGATAAAGGAGTGACCGGCCATCTGGGCGCTCGATCTGTGACTAGAACCGGACGACGACGACGAAGAACGACTTTGCATATCGGGGACTGACAGGAGATCATGGCCACCTGACGTATATGACCTGGAAGGGATTGCAACGTTCAAAGTATATCCACCCGCTGTCATGCCATCATTAGGACGAAGATGTCTTCCAGGGGAGTTCGAATCAGAATGATGCTCCCTTGGTGAACAACACGACTTCCTTTCGCCTGAAACGGTGAATGTCGTACGATATCCCCTGTCTTGACAGGGTTGTTCGCACTGGCACCCTTGACAGCATCCGCAACACTCAGCCGGACAGCTGCAGGAACCCTGGGAACACTGGCATAACCCATTACAGCAAGTTGATGCCATTGTGCGATAATGTGGCAATGATTGGGTAAGCTGAGGCGTAGGGGTTTTTTCCCAATCAGACGTCGGGGCAAACTGCGTAAATTGCGTCATGACAATATCTGAGTGGACGGGAGGAGCCTGAGAAAGAGATAAAGGATATTGTGTGACTGCGTTTGGAAGAGAAGCTTGGCGTAACCATTCGTCTATGTCTTGCGACTGAGAGGTATCAAATAGCGTCGACATGGTATCGGGTGGAAGCGATGAAGGAAGAGCCAGGATCGTACAATCCAGACAGAAAGAACACCCCTCAGGATTAGAGCAGGAGGAGAAAGCACCGGCAGCGGATACAGGAGCATTGTTGTGTTGCGAGCACCCTGGACACCTGCAAGAATCACCACAGGTGCAGGCGGAGGGAAACAGGTTATCTGTCGGCATGCCAGGCGCCATGATATGCGATGGCGATTCTTCTGAGAAGAGAGGCGCTTGCTGAGGGACCATATGCCTGCCAGCTTGCGAAAAAAATGTACCCTGGTCCAGTACATGATCAGGAGCATGGATATGTTCGTAAGCGCGACCATAGGGGCTGAAGTACACGTTTTCATGAGCATGATGATGATGACGGTTACTATGCCCGTGAGCGGTGCCAGATGATGGATCATGTAACGGTCCAGTGAATGTATCAACTTTAGACGGCCTCGGAAGCACAGGACGAAGCTCAGCAATCCGTGCGAGGACGTGAGCTGGAGGTGGGGATGAGAATAACGAAGAGGGGTGAGAGTGTTTGGAGGAATCAGGATGATGACTGTCTTCTTTCGAGTCACGAACGGACGGCCGACGTCTAGCGGGTTTCCTGGGTGTGCAACAATGACATTGACCACCAGTTTTGCAATTGCAATTGCTCGCAGATGATTGTTCACCTTGTACCTTGTCAATACTGAAGATGGTGACGGAAGAAGAACACAGTGCTAGGCATACCGCTGTGGTCAGAATCAGATGACCCTTCAGCTAAGAGTTGCGCGATGGAAGCTTCCATAGATTCAGGCAAACCATTGGGAAAGGCGGCGGTGGCTGGTACCTTAGTGCCTCCTCCTGTATTTGCATGGACTTGACTGATCAGGGAAGAGAACATGAGACAATGCAATAAGGAGTCTCACCTTTCTTACTTGGGACAGCGGCAGTTGTGATTTGTTCTTTCGATTCACAGATGCATTTGACGTGGACTTGTTTTGTTTTGCGAAGTTCTCTACAATGTTCGCATTGGGTTACTGGTCGACCTTTTTTCTTTATTTCGAAGAGGGGGCGATCGGTATGTTTGCATGCGGAGGAACGATGCCCCTTTATGCACGTTTCACTGTCATGACTAATTAGTAAGACAAAGATAAGATAAACGGTAGACCCACCATGCGTATTTTGTGCTACTGATGAGGACCTGCAAGAGATGTGTGATGAGCTGACGTGGGCACGAGTGAGAGAGATGCACTGACCATGGTTGGAGGATGTGATTCAAGTTAAGGTGATGTTATACGTCCCGGACTCGAGGCAATGAGCTGCAGCGCCCGCGACGTTGTAGCGTACGTTACTGGGATATGGCAAACATCGAAAGATACGCCGTGTGGTCTTTTAACAGCATAGCGTAAGGGAAGAGTGAAGGTGTTGACGGTCGTTGACAGGCCCGGACCTCCTCTCCTTTATATTTACTGGCCGTGTTCTCAGCGCCACCACACAAACTACGCCCAAACACGACCACACACACCCAGCCACTTGCTTGCCTGTTCATCATGTTCTGCGGTCTTTCTGCTAGTGAAGACCTACCTTTGTTCTTTACCCTTTCCTTGCGCTCCGGCTGTCCGTTTGCCTTTTTGTTCTCTAATTTCTGATATTTCTACAGCCCATATCCTGTCAGGCGACTGGTCACATTATTCCTCTTCTAGCTCTCTTCCATCACCCTCGCAAGCCAGAAGGCGATCTATATGGTCCATGCGGAAATATCGTTTCGGGCGATATTGTTCCTGCCGCTGTCTGTGGGGTAATTGCACGGCCACTACACGTATTTTTGGTTTCCTTCCAAGTGGTCTTATCCTTAGGCGAATGTAAACTGCGTGTTCGTCCATATTCGCCACATCACAGCGCTGTTCACCGTGCTCTTACGGCCCACCTTGCCTCGTTCCCAATGCTTCTTGTCATCTAGAGCTTCTTCTGTGCATATCTTGCATGTCTGTAACGTGCTATCAACTCCTGTCTCATCCTCGCCTTGGTCGCCTTGTGATTAATTTATGTATCGATAATCTTCAGGGAATCACAATGTTCCTCCTGTCTCCCTTGTGGTATCATTCGTATTCGACCATCGAGGATCTAATCGTGTTCAAATCGTATGCTGTTCATCTTACAAGATGTTATTTGACTACCAGCCTGCAATCGATTTAGATCCGACCTACACCATGAGGCGATGATGTATGCAACGAGATCGTTCCGCTAAATAGTCACTCAAACTACATATTGTCACAAGCTTCGCAATCTCCTGTATCCCATTTGCGCTCACTAGCGATCGGTCCGATTCAAAGGATGGATCATGATCGCAGAGCTTTCTTTCTGGTTCATTCCTTGCAATCGCCGTGTACAGCCTGATGCTCGAATGTGCAAGTGAAGGTCTCCTTTGGTAAGATGACACCGATAGAAACTTTGCTTCCTGGTCACTGGATACGTATAGGAATCAAAAGCTTGGAGCAACTCGGAAGTCTGCATCGGTCCGTTACTGCGCATATATTCTAATATGGTACTAGTGATCCAAGTGTAACAAAGACAGGCCAAATGTAAGTTCGTAGTCCTGCGTAACAGTACGTATGGACGAGGACGGCATCGCGATAATATAGAAATTGATGAGTAAAATGGACACATTGCTCTTAGTTCGCCGCCAATATATGCCACGACGTTGATGAGAGGCACTTTATACTTTTGGAATTTTGGAATTAAGGCCCATTGGCGCCCTCTCCTTCCGCAGCTCGTTGTTGCCGCCTTGCCTTCTTGGCAGCATTTGCAGCAGCTGCCTTTGCCTTCTTGGCTTCTGCACGAGCGATCTGAACAAGAAAATAACGTTAGGTAAACTTTTATCTGTGTCTAATCTCGGCTTTGATCGACGCACCGTTTCTTCTTCCTCCTTCTTCTTAGCCTCCTCCTCAGCCTTGCGTTTTTCCTCCTCGGCCTTCGCCTTCTGGTTGGCAGGAGTCAAACCATTCTTGTTTTTCTTCTTTGCCTCACGTGCCTCCTTCTCTTCCTGCTTGATCCTCTTGATGCGCGGGTCAAGGCCTAGCGTGAGATCCACGATACCCCGTAGACGTGCGGTATCCTCTTTCTTGCGTCGCGCTCGCTCGGACTTGTTCTTCTTCTCTGTATAGCGCTTGTCGTCGCGGCTGCGAAGGATAAAATCTAGTCAACCACAAAGATGGAGACTCCAATATTCTACTCACTTGTCGCTTCCCTCGTTAACTTCCTTATCCAGATACTCGAACGATCTCCAACTATCAAAGTTATACCAGAAGTCATAGAATCCCTCAACCTTCTCCTTCGGGTCATCGTACTGACCAAGCATCGGCACCGGCGTCTTCTTGCTAAACCGGGCTTCCCTCTCGAACACGGGTGTAAATTCGTCAAAGAAGTATTGAGTGTCTTTTTCTCTGTTTTTGAATTGCGAAGCGGTGGGGACGTCGTCTTCGATGGCGACAAAATTTGGGTCGACGGAGTCAAATTGGCGCCGACGCTCAGGGTTCGTGAGGACCTCGTTGGCTTTTTGTATACACTTGAAGAACGCGTCGTCGTTCGTCGTGTGAGAAGCTCCGGCCTTTTTGTCTGGATGGTGCTTGAGCACCTTTTTACGATCTTGAATAAACAGATATCGTTAACATCAGTACAACAATATCATCTATACGCAGGATAATATGGGTGTCGTACGAGCGATTTTAATTTGTGCAGGAGTAGCTTTGTGTCGCAGATGCGAAAGGCCCAGGACTTGGTAATGATCTTGTTTCTATAATATTCAACATCACGGCGGTTAGAAATAGAGATCATTTTTGTGGATTAGAACAGTTAAGCCAACGTACCTTCCACTCTTTAGGATCCTGTAATAGTAGCTCCTCTGGCTCTTCCTCTTCGCCTACGCCCATGTCGTCTTCTCCATTCAAACCATTTCCATTGAGCGCATCGAGCCGTCTTTGCTCCTCTTCCTGGTGCTTGTCGTGCTCTTCAAATGAAAGGTTTAAGACCGCTCGTCGGACATGTGCGAGGTAAGCTGGCCCAGCGGGAAGAAGTCTGCGCTCGACGAGGGCTGGTATCCAGAACGACGCCATTGAAGCGGGGCAGCACCACACACACGAGGATAATCAGATGAAAAACGACATCAAGATTAACTTCCCAACTAAAAACCCTCTAAAAATTATAAGACGTACGGGAAATCGACTTCGCAGATGGTGATGGAGAAGCCCATTTTTCAGGGAGGGCGGATAGTGGCTCCTGAACACCAGCCATGGAGAACAGAGGGGTATGTTGTATGGACAGGTCTCTAGCTTTTTCAGCGCGTGGATGCCTTGCCCAGTTACGAAAAGTTTGGGTCGTCACACGTGGGAAATCAGTATAAGATTATGTCAGCATCAGTTTTCTCGGGGTGAGTGGACCACATGAAAATGAAGGCTCTGCATCACACACCAAGCATAACTGACTTTTGTCACACCCAAAATTGATGAAAAAGCCTGAAAGTAGTTAAAACAAGGTCCAGCCCCCGGTTCTGCCACTGTGGTGCAATGTTTTTGCTATATGATAAATAATTATAATTATAATACTGTTAAGTGATCAAAATGTTAAGTCAGTGAACTTGTGTTGTTTGTAAAGTATGTTAAGTCTTTAAATCCTATAATGCATGTTTGACTTGCTGTTCCATTGTTGAATGTTCTTATAAGCCTGCCCTAAACTTGTGTACAATATATTGAATTCAAGCAGATGATTCATTGAATCTTTACAAACATCAACACAAATTGTAACATAAAAATTCTGTGGTATTACATTGATAAATTGATGAAAAATAAAAAAAGAGATTCCAGAAATAGTAAAGGATGATAATATGATCTGATAACAAAACAATTTAGTAAAAAGGGTGACAGTTGGGGAAAAATTTACTTGCCAGTCAAGGATAAAGCCAGTCAGGATTTTGGGTTACACCATATTGACAGTACATCTGTTATTTGAACCATGCGGAAATAGCACTTTGATTCTCTCTCCTGAAATGCAGCAAGACAATGCAACACAAAGTTGCCCATGTGAAAACACTGGAACACATAATGTAACAACCAAGAGTTAGTTACTCTGGCGCACACAGAAACACACTATAAGGAAGATGATGAGGGAGTGGTTACCCCTTAGGCTGCAGAGAGTTTGTTGGTTAACAACAGGAGGACTCGCTGAGGAGTCTCCTGGATCTATTGGGGTTTATATACTACTACAGGGTTGTTTGTACATGTGTACTATACAGTTGATAGAGACAGTGGCTGATGATGTCATGGGGCCTAGCCCGCATGGCCAGCTCCACTGTGTGAGAGAGTTGTGTCTAAAATAAGAAGAAAGGCAACGTGGCGCGAGAAAGAGGAGTTTGGACAAAAGGGGAAGTTCCGCGTGGCACCATGTGTGAAAGCTATAGTACAAGGTTAAAGCGGAGAATAAAAAGAAAGGGAAGGTCCGAAGATTGTGTTATCGTAACAGTTGATACCAAACTCATGGCTTTCGCTCTTCTCCAATCTCTCCCATGCATTCCTGAATGGCAAATATTTCAGTCATCAGTAATCAACACGATTGAAGACAATAAACTTACCTTTGATGCAGTTGAGATCCGGATCACTGCAGAAGTTGCACGACAGTCAGGGAAGGCCCCTGGAGGTTCCGAATCAGCACTCAAATCCGAGGAGAAATGGTGTAACTTCCACAAAGCCAAATCACACAACACCTCGGAGTGTCGAACACTTCAGTCAGCTGAAAAAGGTCAAAGGAAGAAGGAAAAGGAAAGACACAAGGATAAAGGAAAAGAGAAGGAAAAGGCAAATACAGCGGAGCAATCATCTGGATCTGACTCCGAGGAGGAACAGAGTCATATTGCATTGGAACATGTACATATTTCCAAGCCCCTTGCTAAACACATTCAAGCTTACCTTGTGTCGGAACCCGATAAGACCAAAACAACAATTATTATTGACTCTGGAGCAACATCCCACATGGTCCCTCACCGCTCCTGGTTTGAGCCAGGAACATACCATGTTCTGCATCCTCCGAGGACAATCAGTTTTGGGGATGAATCCTCTGTAAATGCCATTGGCATTGGAACAGTAATCCTACAAGCAACTGTTGGCAAAAAGGACTACAATATTGCACTGTCAAATGTCTTACTTGTGCCAAACTTCACGTTAGCACTCGTCTCTGTCCACAAATTGTCCAAAACGGGGTTATCAACACTTTTTCCAGCAGGGTCAAATGCTTGTGAAGTTCGGAAAAAGGAGGAACTTATCCTCACTGCGTTACACAAGCGAGGACTTTATCACATCCAAGCAAAACCCAAAATCAACCCGGAGTCAGCTTTTGCAGCAGTAGATGTAAATTTATTGCACAGGAGAATGGGACACATTGGAATGGACCGCTTGCAATGAATGGTTACAAAAAGACAGCTCCAGGACATAGACACCCTTACCGGAACCCCGGAGTTTTGTGAACCTTGTGCTTTAGGAAAGATGAAGAAATTACCTTTCAAGTCCACTGGAGGAAACCGAGCCAAGCGCCCCATACAAATTGTGCACACAGATGTTGGAGGACCAATCAAATCAACTTCCAGGGAGGGTTTTCGGTACTGGATTATCATTGTAGATGATTTCTCCAAATTTCCATGGATATATTTCCTAAAACATAAAAGTGAAGCACTGGAATGATACAAGCAATGGAAAGAAGATGTCCAAACATTCTTCTGGACTCATTTGGGAGAAGAAAACTTCACTCCACTATACACAGAATTCCTCCGGAGCGATGGGGGAGGAGAATATACTGGCAATGCATTCAAAAATCAACTCCGGGGAGATGGTGTCATCCAAGAAACTACAGCTGCAGATACTCCGGAACAAAATGGCATTGCAGAACGCATGAATCAGACATTGGCTACATTAGCAACCACTATGCTCCATGATTCCAAGCTCCCAAAGTCATTTTGGGTAGATGCCATGCAAACAGCTGCATATATGACTCCATGGAAAGACCCCATATGAAATACTGTTTAAAAGGAGAGTTGATCCAACTTTGTTTCGCCTTTTCGGATGCCAAGCATATGCCTTGATTCCGAAAGACAAAAGGCAAGGGAAGTTTTACTCCACGGGGTGCAAAGCCATAATGATTGGCTACACACATGGAAAGAAGCCTACAAACTCCTAGATACTGAAAAACGGACTATGTTTTCCAGTCGGCATGTCATATTCAATGAATCCGGAAAGGTACAAAAGGATGACACTGCTCCCTGGAACACAGACACTAGCACAGATCAGTGGGAGGGACTCATTCCAGAGAATGCTCACTATCTAGACCAAAAAACATTGGAGGAGGATGATCATGACCCTCGGATCCGAGATCCAAATGAATTGCAAATAGAACCACATCTCCAAGGAGATGTTCCGCAAGCAATGGAACCATATCAGCATGAAGATGTTCCGAGAGCAGTGGGGCAATACCTCCGTGGAGACGTTCCGAGAGCAGTGGGAGCACCTGATCAGCTAAGACACCCTCCACAACAGTCTCTACAACCAAGACCTGAACACTGGCCATCTTCAGAACGGAAAGCCAAAGTAGAGTTACAGTCAGTGGGAGGACAGCCCCTCAACATACAGCCAGCTGATGTGGAAAAAGTCCGAATACAGCTAGACAGCCTGTCCATTGGATCAGCTTCTGGAAGGCATACAACACCTCCAAGGAGTCATCCAACACCTCCGAGGAGTGATTTAACACCTTCAGGAGTGAGTGGGGCAACAAATACACAAATGCGTCTACTCCCTGGAGTACCTGCACAAGTTCCTAAAAGAGCAGTCATGCCTGCTGAAGTCCTAGGAGTACGCAGAAGCAGTCGCCAGACCCGTCCTGCAGACAAAAACCGAGATTATCAAAGGACTCTAGATGAGGAACAGTCTTGAAAAGAGCAGCATGACAACTCCATGGAGAAACCTAACACCCCTGAGGTTCATGAAGGAACATCTGATACAGAGGAGACATTCTTTGCTGGAATAGCAAGTACTGGTCCATCTAACACAGACCTTCCAAGGACACTAAAGGAAGCCTTATCACGTCCGGATGGAGAATTATGGAAGTCTGCCTTGGAGGAGGAACTCCTAAGTCTCAATACTAATGCAGTATATGACACTGTTCCACTTCCGAAGGGAGTGAAACCCATCACATCAAAACCTGTGTTCCGGATCAAGTTTGATCAAAACAGAAACATTGAGAGATACAAACTCCGGATTGTTGCACAAGGTTTTACTCAAAGGGAGGGGATTGATTACCAGGAAGTTTTTGCTCTGGTTGCAAACTTAGAGTCAATCCGAATTATTCTAGCCCTGGCAGCAAAGTACGACCTAGAACTTGATCAAATGGACATATCCACAGCTTATCTCAATGGAGAACTTGAAGAAGAACTGTACATGCTTCCTCCAGGGGGTGTTCCTATCCAACCTGGATACTGCTGGAGATTGAAGAAATCCATCTACGGGTTAAAACAAGCTGGTTGTACATGGAACAAAACTTTTGATCGCAAGCTCCAGGAGCTCGGTTTCACAAGACTAAATGCAGAAACATGTCTCTATGTATTCTGGGACAACAAACAGATATGCTTTGTTGTTGTCTATGTAGATGACCTCCTCCTAGGAGCTTCATCCCAAAAATTCATGGATATCACAAAAGCCAAACTTGAATCCATATTCAAAATGCGGTGTCGATGATGAGAACTGTTGTTAGAAAACCACACACAAAACAAACTAACACACAATCCTCCCAGATTCCACGGAACTTGTTTATGGGCTTTGCCTCCTAGAACAGTGGAGTGGTCTGGTTGTTCGTGGGGTGGTACGTATAAAGATCCTTCAAAGTAAAACCCAGAGGTGTATGAGTGTGGGTTTTGAGGAGGAGGGATAGTTGAATTTATAAGAAGATAGGTGCTTTGTGGTGAGTATAGACGAGCACTACCTTGCTAATCGTATCACAAGGTAGGTTTGAGAACGACGAGGATGACGAGGTGACGAGGTTCCCAGTGATAGCAGGCTCCTGACGCACAAACTGTAGTGCTCAGAAGGACTCTAATCGAAAGGGATGACAATGACTTCAAAAGTGGGAAGTGACGATGACAGCAGTTGACAGTGGTAGAAGTGGGAAGTGTTGTGACCACACTGGATCACAAGTAGCAGAGTAGTGAACTTGAGAGTAGAGAAGAAGTCTGGATTGGATTTCTTGTTGTTTTTTTTTTACAAGGTAAAATACAGGGGTTTATATAGTAAAAGAAAAGTAGGCTATGCACAGTATAGCTGTGCAAAAGAATGAGAAAGAACATGAAGGAAGGAATGTATGCTGACGAATCCTGCGTAGGTAGTACAGGATAAGATTGTCAAAAAAAGGAAAAGAAAGAGATAGAACAATGAATGCTGTGAGTAATGTCACAGGTTTGTACAGCCATAAAGTAAAGTCCAATAGCAAAAAGAGAGCAGGAAAATCATGATGTCATGGGAAGATGCAGTAAAAAAAGGGCAAGGCAAAACACTATCAGTATCAACACAGTTCCTTTATTGTCAGTCAGGCATTCTAAAAAAAATATGTGTCCATAAAAATGATTCAAAAATCAAAAATAATTGCACTGCAAATGAATGTTCTGCTGAAAAAAAAGAAACTGGAGCCACCAGTCCACCACCTAGTCCAAATCCGACGGTTTCATGGCCTTACCAATAGACTGGTTGTGTTGGACCACCTGGTCAAACGAGGGAGGGAGAGGAGTAGTTCCAATTTGGAACAAGTGAGTCCCAGGCAGCGTGTGGTAGGTGTAGCTGTAGCGAAGACGATGGACAAATGATAAGTGTACCCAAGTGAATGGGACAGCGATGAACATGGGCGACGCAAGGGGATGAACCTTCTCCAGCTCAAAAACTACCCACCCACGCTCCAACCAGGCAAGACGAGCGACCGATGTTTTGATAGTATATGATGGCAGATCGACGTCATGAAGATGGACCTGTTGCCCTATTTGGACCGGCCGCTGGGGCTTTGCTGATATCAGCAGTGGCACGTGGTAGTCAACGGATCGGCGACGGAAGCGGATAGGAAGTGGTGACATCAGAAATGGTGGGGGTGCAAATAAGATGAGGAGGTGTTGCGATAACACAATTTCCGGACATCTCCTTTCCTTTTATTCTCCGCTTTAACTTTATACTTTAAGTGCCACGCGGCATTTCCCTTTCTCGCGCCGCGTTGCCTTTCTTTTAGACTTAAAACTCTCTCACGCAGTGGAGCTGGCCATACGGGCTAGGCCCTATGACATCATCAGCCACTGCCTTCATCAACTGTATAGTACACATGTACAAACAACCTGTAGTAGTATATATACCCCAATAGATCCAGGAGACTCCTCAGCGAGTCCTCCTGTTGTATACCAACAAACTCTCTGCAGCTTAAGGGGTAACCACTCCCTCAAACATCTTCCTTATAGTGTGTTCTTGTGTGCACCAGAGTAACTAACTCTTGGTTGTTACATTAGGACTCGCTCCTCTACTCTCTCGCACGTGTGTGCAGAAGTCCCATCATTTGGGCACCCGGACTCCAGGGTGAAGGAGATTGGTTAGCGGTTAGGAATATCCCATATAGCAAATAGGTGCGCTCCTAGCGACGGCCTTGTAGTGCTTTGGGAGAAGAACCCAAAACCTGTGATACGCGGCCCCCAGCGTTAAGGGGAGTACTTAGCTCAGCAGCTGGTGTGGAACCACTGTTGATTAGAATAAAAATACATAACTTCTTTTTCGAATACCTCTGACCAGGCCGGGCACTTGCCTCCGCCAGTCTGGAGAAGGGTTGACAGCTTAACAAGCGGACCACCCCCTGACAACCGTTCGGACCAGGGTTTATTACATTTACATTTTATATACATTTTCAAATACTATAGTGTGGGTAGTCGGAGATTGAGATCCGATACTCAGCTGGGAAGAGGTTGATCCGCAGATAGCAAGCGGGGACCCCCAGTTACCTATTTTTACGTTACCCAAAGAGAACAAGTCGACATGTCGTCGCAACCCCAAGATATGAATGCGCTACTGCACGCAATGCGTGTGCAGATAGCAGAATTAACCTCGCAGCTCGCCGAGATACAGGCCAACCCCCCTGTAGCAACCCCCTCGGTGGAAAAGAAATTCAACAAGAAAGTCGAAGTCGTCGCTGACCCTGGCGCCTTCGAAGGAGACAGAGCGCGATTTGCCGAATGGTGGATCAAGCTCCAGATTTGGGTCAAGGCGAACTGGGACGCTTTTGCCGACAATTTTGAGGTAGCCACTGCGGTACTATCTCGCCTAAAAGGACCTGTGGCGGGTCGATACGCCCAAGTAAGACTCCAGGAATGCTACACCACGGGTGTGTGGCCTACCTGGGATGATCTCAAGAAAGAGATCGAAAAATACTTCAAACCGCAAGCTGAGCGTGACTGGGCTCGGCAGCAAATCCGTTCGTTCAAACAGGGAAACCTAAGGACGGACGATTATGTCACCCGGTTCCTGGCCCTCTCCATCCAAGGAGGGTTAGGTAACGAACACGCAGTAGAACTGCTGGAACGCAATGTGAACCCTCGCATTGCAGAACAGATCTACCTGCAGGATACGAGAAGTGACGACCTGGCTCTGGCAGCCGAGGAAGTCAGACGAGTCGGTAGGGCCATGGAGCTCTACGCTATGCACCAAGGTGGCGGGTCCACCAAACAAACCACCACACCCCAGAGGCGCCCTGGGTCATCAAACCAACATCATAATCACTCTCACGGGTTCAAGCCGTTCGGGCTGCAGCCAGGACAGGGTGCTCCTATGGATATCGGCGCGGTCCAAGGCGGACAAATGCGCAGATTCAAGGGCAACTGTTACAACTGCGGCCAAGAGGGACACATGTCCCGAGACTGTAGAAACGGGGCGCAGGCTGCCCAACAAAAAAATAATCAAGGGCGCCAGGCGCGCCAACTAGAAATCGAAAAGTCGGACGATCGGCTCAACTCTTTGGCCGGTCGTTCTTACGACGAAATCCGGGCCTTCTTCTATGACCAACAGGTCAACGAAATGAAGGCTCAGGGAAAAGAATTCGGGGCTTAGGTCACTTGGGTACCTTAGCTCCTGGCAAAAATGAAGTAAACCACAACAAAGTGGCCCCTGCTCCGGGGTGTTGCACGAGCAATAACGGAATGACGGGGATGGCTCCCCAATTTGTAAATAAGTTTTTTAATTTGTTATCAGAAGTATGTACTTGTATGAAGAAATGTAACTGTAATATTTATGATACTACCGCTGCACCAGCGTCTCCCTTGGAGCGTGGCCCCGGCGAGACAAACACTAGGGTGCTTGATTCTGGTAAAACAAAAATAGAAAAACATGTGTCATCCAAAATTTCTTCTTCTTCTTTTTCTTCTTTGGAGCCACCCTTTCCCGAAATCCCAAGGCGTGTGTTGATGCGCACGTATTTATTCCAAAAGGAGATCCGTTTAGACGTTGGCGTGGAAAACCTTGCCAGGGGCAAAGTACACTCAACAAGCGCACTGCTTGATTCAGGCGCTAATGGGATCTTCATAGATCAGGTCTGGGCGGAGCAAATTGGACTCCCCCTTGTAAAATTCATCTATTCCCGTCTATAACGTTGACGGTACGCTTAACGCAGGTGGCTGTATTACACACAAATGTTCTTTTGTGGTCGAATACCAAGGACACAGAGAACGAGTCACTGCCGAGGCTACCCAACTAGGGAAGATTAATTTAATCTTAGGCTGGACCTGGCTATTTAAACACAATCCTGAGATCAACTGGCAGACAGGGGTTGTCACATTGTCACATTGTCCCCAGGAATGTGTGAACTTGGGCAAACCAAATCATGTCCGTCACAATGAGCGTCTCGAAAAGTTAAACGCTAGTCACGT